ATCACTACTTTTTGAGTTCGCTTCTGTTGTTTTGCTGTCAGACTGTTGAAGTGTTCATTTGGGAGCCTGTCGATACTGCTCGGTACAGTGCCACTTTAGACTGATGAGAGCTTGACAGTGTGTCAGCTGGTGTGATGCTGCACAGAGGTGTCAGCCTGGTTCTAGGGGCAGTTTAGCTGCATCAGCCCAGAACTGAACTTCAGTCTGAGTACCGCTTCTCTCTGACAAAACAGCCTCTTGCCAGTTCAGGCTGCTTCTGTGGGTTTTGCTCAGGGATTTCTACACCACCTGGCAATGCAAGAGTAGTGTAGACTTCACCACCTCTGTCTGTGAGGTGTCATGCTGTGGGTAGATACCATTTGCACTGGTACCTGTGCAACTGCCAGAAGCTCCCCTTTTCTAAAGCTGAACACTGATGCTGGAAGCTGTCTGCTTTCAGATTTGCTTACAAGCGCACTTTGCTGATAAACGCACAGGCTTTTACCTCCTGAGAAGCATAGTGCTGTTATCACTGTTCCAAGGGGCTGGCATTCCAGGTAGTGTTCTGCCTGGTAGGAAAAGCAGCCATAACAATAGCTGAAGTTTTGCTAAGACTTGTTACTCAGGATTGGATTTTTTTGTGTGGATGTAATGCAGTAGCAACTGCAAGAGAGAGGAGGGTGAAAGGAGCCAAAGCGAGAAAGCAGAATGGAGGGCTTTTTATGCTTAACGACTGGATGCTTTTGTACTGTCGAATTTGGATTCTGTTACAGTGCCAAGCTGATGAAATCCTGGCTCCACTAAGTTGCTTTGCTTCCCACTGATCTTACAGTCTGGGGTCTGTTGTATGGGTGGTACCTGCAGCTGTGGTAAGGATGGAGCCTGCAGCAAGTGTTCCACTCCCAGCTGCCTCCTCCTGCCCCTGGTAGATTAAAGGCCTACAATTAAGAGTTAAAAATAGACTTATATCTGTAGGTGCCTTCCAGTCCAGTGCTTGGTGAGATGAGGATTTCACTCAAGACTTTTCTGTTCCCTCCTTTACCCCACAAATGCACAACCATGGTGTTGTGACTCTGTGTATATGCATGTACCTTTCTTGCTTTTCTGCCTTGAAACGTGGTATGCAAAGAAAATTGGAATGCTTTACAGGTATGTAATCTCTTTTGGAGCACTAAAAGAATAACCACTACAGCGTGCTTTCTTCAAGAAACACTGCTGTTTTTGAAACATTTTGTATTTGAATGTGTTCTTGTTCCCAGTGCAGTGCTGCTTTTTGTTTAGATTTAAATGAATTTATTGCTCAGCTTTTTGTATGAAGATTAGATTTCTCAGCTTTCTTTGCATATTATTGGAAAGATAATTGTATCTTAGAGATTGCTTGAAAAATAAATCCGAAATCCTCTGTTTTATTGTTATGTCATCTTTACAGTCTAATGAGATGTATATGAATGTTTGGGTTTTTCTAAACGTAGATGGTTATATTGAAAAAGATGTCTACAAGTGGACTTCTCTATGTGCATGAAATACCTTTCCAAACTTCTCACTAGAATTATCAGAGAAGACCCTTCAAGGCTTGTTTTAAGCATTTGCATTGATTACCCATCTGTATGTTTATATACACATATCTGTATCTAGACATTCTCTTCAGGTATAATCTTGAGACGTGAGTTTTTTTTTAGCACATGTTCTGTGCTTGGGTACAAAGACAGCTACAGAAGTGGAAAGCTACAGAACAGTACATGGGGTCCCCAACAGAAGAAGGTCATGGACCTGTTAGAATGAGTCCAGAGGCCACAGAGATGCTTAGGGAGCCAGAGCACCTCTCTTAGGAAGACAGGCTGAGAGAGTTGGGCTTGGGCTTGTTCAGCCTAGACAACAGAAGGTACCCTTCCAGTACCTAAAGGAGCTTACAAGAAAGCTGGAGAAGGGCTTTTTACAAGGGCATATAGTGACAGAACAAGGGAGAATGGCTTTAAACTGACAAAGGGGAGATTTACATTAGATGTTAAGAAAAAATTCTTCACTGTGAGACACTGGCACAGATTGCTCAGAGAAGCTGTGGCTGCCCCGTCCCTCAAAGTGTTCAAGGCCAGGTTGGACAAGGCTTTGAGCAACCTGGTCTGGTGGAAGATGTCCCTGCCTGTGGCCGGAGGTTGCAGCTGGATGATCTTTAAGGTCCCTTCCAACCCAAACTATTCTGTGATTTTATGATCATATCTCCCTGTGCCCCTGGAAGAGATGAAAACTTGGTGTCTCACTTGCCCATCTCAGCTTGAGTTATTCCAGGACGTCATGATGAACTGTGCTAGGTAAAGCATTGTGATGAAATGTTGCAAACTCCTTTGGTCGACGGATTTCCAAAGTCTATACTAAGGTCTTTAACTAGTATCCTGTTGTATTGATGACTGTTGTTCATCGCTTTTTGCTGACTTCTGTAAAGCTTTCCATAGGTGTTAAACCTCCACACCACAATCACTGAAAAGTTGGTGATGTTAGTAAATTACTTTAGGTTTTTAACTCTACTCATGTATGGTTTCTTAGCAGGAAGCTCACTAACCAAGTTTTCCTTGTCACACCATTTACAGCTTTGTAAAACAAAAATAATAATCTTAAATGGATGTTGTTTATTAATATCCCATTTCTTGCAGGAGATAGATACATAACATCTTTTCCACACTTGACCCAGTTTGAAAAGGCAGGCTATGTGTCTTTTGAGTCTGTAGTTTGGATTACAAGAAAAAAATTAATTAGAATATGGCCTTTGTCTGAGAGAGGAACTGACACGCATTTATTAAAATCTGTAATCCATCATCGTTGAAGATTATAGAAGATTTTTTTTATGATTCTTATTTTTTCTAGATCAGAACCAATATGTGTGAGTAAAGAGATTATCCTAAGCACTTATGTTTTAAATAACTTGTCAGCATGCTAAGATGATGAATGTGATTACTAACATCTCTGGAAGAAACCTTGAACGACAGCTGATTCTTTGGATTATCATTTTAAAATGTTTGCAAAACATTTAGGTTGAAGGGAACAGTTATATCAAGATGGGATTTTAGGAAGGAGGATCTTTTTGCTTTTGGTCCACAGAGGCTTGAAAAACATTACATAATTAATTGGCCTAAAAAAGACTTTGTGTATATATCTCTATCAAGCTCCAAATACATTAATAGAAGATATCAAAATAAAAAGCATAAAATTATGTAAGGCTGCAAGCCAGTTTTCTTAAAGAAAAAGGCAGAAGTAGCACACGAGCATGTCTATTTCTCTTGCTGTGTGCTAATGTGGCGAAGAGCAGAAGTCTATGCTAAGAAGATTATGGAATATGGTTTGAAATGGCCATAAGATCACAATTAACCTGTCACATACAGGCGCCCCTAGACATTAGAAAAGGAAAAATTGTTTCTGTGTTTTTGGAAGGAGAAGGGGGGAATTACATAGTGTCGCTGTGTTTGTTAGCCTCAGTGTACAAATGGAGGGTGTTGGCCAACCCCACTGCTCTAGAGGAAGTGGTGAGGAACCCCCAGGCCACCTAAAAAAAGAAGATACATCCTTCCTCAAAGGGCAACTGTTACACCTTTGTACACACCAACTTGGTGCCTGAAAGCTGTGAAGAATGTGTGTGTGTAATTCAACGTGCTACGACGACATGTATCATTCAGGACAATGAGCCTGTTCTGTGTATTTGTAACTCCTGCCGCCCCCAAACCAACACAAATACAGTAAGCAGAAACTCTAGGTCCTATTCTTCAAAGGCGTTTAACTTAGCTAGGGATACAGTGTTAAGTTTACTTCCACTTAGAAGTTGTACCTCAGTCCCCTTCTGAAATTGGGCTGAGATAGGAGAATCGCTGTGCATTCAGCTCTGGTGAACAGGGAAGGGGAAGCCCCAGGGTCTCAAATCCAATGGATTCAGCCACTCCATAACCTCTGGGACTGCACTGCTGGGGTTATAAAGAGAGTGGTCAAGTGTAAAAAAGAATTCAAGCACATTTATGTGTTAATAAGTTTTACAAAACTAACTTATACATTACATTGTTTTGATTATTTTGTCTGATTATTTTTGTATAAGGAGGAAAAGAGCAGGAAAAAGTTTGTTGTACTCCTAGCTATTCTGTCATTCTGTGCCATTCATAATGTATCAACATTATGAGGATTTTTTTAAGTTTCTACTGTTTAGATTTCTCTAAGCGCAAATTTGTTTTGGCTTTGTCTCAGGTCCACTTATCCTCAGTCCTACACTGCTGAAGGGGTCTAGACCTATCTGCTGACAGAGATTTGTCACACACCCTTGCCTTAGGAATCAATCGGTTGATTAAAATCTTCAAGCCTGCATCAGGTCTTGTCTTTCAACCTAAGGTAGTGTTCATCAGTTTCTGTGGTGTTCTAGTCCAGAGCAGTATCTCTTCTCTCAGTATTTCTACATAACAACTGAATGTACCAAAGTGAGCAAACAGTTACTCCAGGGCTGTGTTAAACAAAGCTCTCATGCTCCTCAGTGCTGTAACCTTCAGTACAATCAGCATTTTTTCTTGCCCATTCAGAAGGTTACAGAAAATAATTGAGTGACGGAGTTGAAATGTTCTGCTTTTGCTCTTGCAGAGATTACTTGCCTTATTGCTTCCCAGAGTTTGGCTTTGGCGTTGCCAAAGGAGGCAGTGAAGAGCAGAGCACCTGAATGGAAGATCTGAAATAAAGCCAGCATTGAGAAGTCTTGTGAAGGGACAATTAAGGCAATTTGGAGGCCTGGGACATCCCATTAAGCCTTCTGGGTGACCAGACAGGATGTGGAAGGAAAAGCTAAAAAAGGAGCTAACATGACACTATGGCTATGGGTGGAAGTAGAGTGGAGATTAAATAACAAACAAACAGTTTTCCAAAAGCATCTTCTGAACTCACAGATTCCATGGGAACAGCAGCTGTGTGCAGGTCAGCCTTGAGTCCTTGCTCTTGTAAGTAAAACCTCTCCTAAGTGAAAGTGACAACTCTTTAGTGTATATGGAAGACTGCTAAGTACAGACTGGAATATTTATATTTATTTTTGCAATGCCATAGGTAAAAACAGTTTAACAATGCCAAGTACAGGTGTTATTCTCATAAAAACTTCTCATTTCAAAACGAATGATTTCTATTATTTCCCACAAAAAGTTAAAATCACATGCAGCTTTATGAAGGTTAATTGCTTAAGATGCACAATTATATATCAGAAGACTTTGTTAAAATAAAAACATACCCAACTACAGCATTTTAACAAGGCAGTTACACAGAACTAGAAAACTGACTCTGTAGTAAAATATAAAAAATCTACAATTATAAATATAAATTTGGTCCATGATCACTACAGAAGTAGCAGTATTTACAGTAAGTATCAGATTACTATTCTAAATGTCTAATTGAAGTCTTAAAATGTTGAATGTTATGGAGAACAGTATTTTATTTACATTCTACTATATTAAAAGTTATATTTCTAGCAAATGTAAATTGTTATAAATACAGCAAATCAATCAAATACTAAACCCATGACGTTTGTAATTGAGAAACCCCTAACATCTATAAATATGATAATTTTAAGTTCAAAGTAAAGCCAGATAAATCAAAAACTAATACTGAAAAAACATACCACAATTCAATTCTTAGAAACACTGTAAAAGTCAATCAAGTTAGTCCAGACGTAACAACATATTACAAGAAATCTTCCAAGAAAAGGCACAAATTGTTAATGATAGAAGTTCCACAGTAAAGTTGTACGTAACAGAAATGACTGGGCAACAGCTGGGATCTGGTTATAGATATAGTGACTGGACAGAGTCCTCCCCCCCACAAAGTATAAAACTGAAAATAACAATGGTAAACTCCAGGTGTACCTGGAGTGACATAGGTATGTGTGTGTTTGATGTGCAATTAAACTAAAGATTCTAAACTTTCAGCTGCATTTCCATCAGGTAAAGCTGAGCCATTACTGTCCATAGATGCTGAAGGGTTTTCTTCTTGCCTTGTGCTGACAAGGCTGAGAATAGCTTTGTACAGAAACTGGTACTGTTCCTGGAGAGAGAAGAGGGTATAGTCAGTGTGTTGTCAGAAATAAAAACACTAGATTATCTCCTAACACTGTCCCTCGAAATTAATTAACAGCTGATGTGTCAAGCTGTTAATGGACTGTGCTCCACAATTTATTGTGTTACTTACTTAGCAGCTTTATTAATTTTCTGACTAATGTCTCTCCCTGTGCACAATGCAAAGCACATTAAGGAACAGTACAAGTAGAGGAGAAGACCGAGTTTTAAAAGGAATATTCTGTGCTGAATCTGATCCTTGTTAAAGTCAATTGCAAAGTTCCCTTAAACTGAATGGGGTCAGGATTAGGGCTACTGCATGTCTGTTGACTTCCCCCCCGCCCCCTGAATATGATCTCATTTTTTGCCCTCTGAATTCTATCCAGGCAGATTATTTTAACTTTTCCTTTTTGGAACTTGCAGTTAGTGTTTATGATATTTTTGAAGGTCCTGCCAAGAAAATGAGGTAGAAGAGAGATAAGACTTTGTGGGAAGATTCACTGAGGAGGCCATTGCCTAGCTGGGTGCAGTGGGAAATGGGGAGTGCCAGAGGTCAGCTGGACTGCAGCATGTGCTGGGAAGGGGGAAATAGCAGGAGGCTCTGTGCATGGAGAGTGAAGGCTGTGCTGCACCAGGTAACAGCAAATGCTCTGAAAGGGCAGGGGAATATTTTGGGTTCATTGGTGGATATATGAGGATAAAGAATTTCTATGATGGAAGGAGTGAGAAACAGCAAAGCAGAATAAATAGAATGGGGTTTGGACTATAAGGCTGGACTAAGAGATACAGGGTAGAAAGAAAAATGAAAAAAAACCCCTGAAAATCTGCAGTAGCAGATGGGAAACTGGAAATCTGAGATAAAGAGCCCAGGTAATTGCTGAAGGCTCCTGGGGCAAGAGCAGTGAAGGTCCTGATGGTGCTGCTGAGGTGGGAAGGGTTCCCATTTTCACTCCATTGTTCATGAGGCTTCTCAGACTGGGCTAGCTGGGCAGCGCAAAAGGCAGACACATCTGCCTGTCTGTGTCATGTCCTGCTTTTGCTATCATTTCCTGTTCTTTTCTGTCAAAAATGTGCTAACTCTAACCCTAGTTTCACTTTTAAAATGTTCTTATTACACTCACTGTAGCTCTACAGCAGTCAGACTTGTAGTGGCATGACAAAAGGAGCAGGGTTTGTAGTTTTTAATTTCTGTGATGAATTGTCATTTGTAGGACACTGACTTAGTAAGGAAGTCTCATTTGTTATACTTCCTATGTTGTTTGCTTTGGTTTGGTTTTTTTTCTTTCTGTAAGCACAGTGACAATGGTGTCAAGTGACCATTCACTGGATCATGAAAGATCAAAGTCCACCCTGAAATGGAAAATTAGGCTAGCCGTGTCAGGGTCTACTTGGAGTAGAGATTTATTCCTGC